GTAAACTGGGACAAGGGTATGAGTCCAATTAAATGCTTTATTTAACTACAGCTGCATGTCAGCTGCATGTGTACTGTGCATGTCAGTGAACTCAGAGACAGGCCCTTATTTAGCATTTGTCTGTCTGTCCCTTGAAGCTGCTGTAAGGAAGCATTTCCTAAGAGATTGATTTCAACAGAAAAATAGAGAAATATTATCATACAGTATGGCTACAACTTATTATGCCACTTACTATGATAAAATCAAACAGAGTTTTTGGCTTAAATATTTTGGCGTCAATAAATTAATAAATAAAGCACATTTTCGGCAATGTTTGTCCGAGGAAACTTTGCAGGATATTGTCAATTCTTAAGACAGCTGGCACATGAATGATGATAAAATGAATTGTAGAGCTACATTTATCAAGTGGTGCCCACACGATGTGAAGATCACTCATAAGCAGTGGGGATAGACTTATACTCTCAGATATTAAGCCAGTACGTCAAGGGCATGGATTTTAGGTAGACACTTAAAGCTATGGAAAGTTTGATGGTTATCCTATAAATAACACTTAACAGATCAGCATTATAAGACCCGACTGTAATGATGTAAAATAACTGTAATATAATGAAAAAAAAAAACATGTAGGAAACACTTTGACATGTAATTTTTCCACTAGTTAACATGGGTGAGATGTGGTACTATAGCCAGTCAGTAGGGGGAGCTTCAAATGAATTGGCATCACAATCTGTGATCACCTGTGACATCCATTTTTATAAACAGTCTTTGCATAAGTGCCTTAAGCTTGCATAATTTCTAATAGCCAGAAATTGGCCATCTGCAACTTGTTTGAAGGAAAACAAGCCCCCTATTCATTTGTTTATAACCTCTTCAAAAACTTCACTTTACAAATGGTCAGTTCCTAGTAATATTCAGTACACCATGACAATCACCTAGTAAATTAATCAGTAATCAGGGGGTTAGTAAATGTTTTTGTTCCTTATTGTATTGAATAAGATGTCATGCCTTTAGAAAGTGCACTCCTTTTTCTGATGTCCGATTGCTATAGTATCAATCTTACAGCCCACTGAGCAATAGATGCTATTAGATTTAGATAGTCTATTTTTTTTTTTAGACCTAATTTCAGCCGTCTAGATTCTGTATATCTTTAGACGGAATTTAGACATTGCACTTTAACCCATTATTCGATAACTATTTATTTCAAAAAGAAACTGTGAGTTGCATAACTGATCTTCAACCAAAATAATCATGATAGCTGGTGAGCAATATACAGTGTAGTATAGATATAGCCCAGATTTAGATTTAGTCTAAGCTTGGTCTAAATTTAGACGTCTAAAAAACTTTCATTTTAAGACCTGTGGTTGCCTGATTTTAGACTAGTCGTCTAGGCTACATTTAGACGTCTATTAGACCTCTTTTAGACCAAAAAATGCTCAGTGGGAGAGTTATAGTGGCCATTTAAAGCCCCTGTGAGGAACTTTTAGTTTGTGTCCTTTTTGGTTCCCTCTATGGACAAAGTAATCTCTGCTGATTTATGTCTTTACAATTGTGTTGATAGTTTTAAAACCTCACCCTGCTCTTTCATAGCCATTATATATACCATCCATTCAGAGTCTGTGCTTGTAAACATTATGAAAAAAAAAAAAAAATAAAAATCCTGAATGAGCAGATCATGAACTCTCCCCCCCCCCCCCCCCAACAGTGGTTTCACACACTTAAAATGATTTTATAAAAACAGGCACTCTTCTTGTTGATGATTTTGTTTGTTTTTAAAGGTAACAAAGAGACATCAGTATTAATTTCTGTCTGTTTTACAGCCTGTTAAAATCTCCTCACAGGAGCTTTAAGAACAGTGACAGAAACCAAAAGTTAATGCAGCATTAAGATGAGTTACTGCTGAATGAAGAGTGGTCAACAACAAATAAACACAGTGTTCTCATGCTGTTCACTGCATCGAAACATTACAAATCAAATGGCACTTATGCTCAAAGGTGATACTCCTGCCAGACCAACCAAACATGAACATGCACTCAAAACACTGCAGATAGACACCATACTGTTACTTTTTATACATAGTGAAGCACTGTGCAGCATATAAACACAACAGTGTTTGACAAATACCCCAGTAATAGTGAACAAACATGCACCACAAAGTCAAGTCGAGACATTTTAACACTCACTGCTACATCTACTGTAGCTAACTCCAACATGTTCAACTGTATTACAGAATTCAGCTTCAGTATTGCTGTTGACCTGTGTCCAGATGGCATTGCTTTTGTACATCAACTTGGCCTCTGTTGTGCTGTGATGTTTATTGGTGCATCTTTACATTGCCTGTAAAGAGCTTATTGTAATACAGGCAGTCGAGCGTATTTGTGTGTGTGGAACTCTGTGCATATGTTTGTTTGTTGGTCTCCTGCTGGCCTTTATAAATATGTCCCCCTTCAACAGAAGCGACAGGAGATTAGCATCCCCAGGTCGTATTGACCATCTTTGCTATAAATGAAAGCTTTCACCCTAAACTAGTCCACACAGGATGGAATTAAAGCAAGAGTATCCAAATTCAGGAAGACTCTTCTGTCCTCCTGGCAAGCAGAGATAAATGAAGATTCTCCACAAAGTAATGCAGAGAAACAACATAGGAAAACAATTAGGAAACAGGAAAACTCTTCTACTGGCGCCATCACAGGGCTTTAAAAGAAATGGTGAGGATGAGATGAAAGGCCTGATACGTTGTTGTTTCTGGAAATAAAAAACTGTAGTCCTGATCTTGATGAGGTCAAAGTTTGTGTTTGAGAAAGACACAAACTGAATCACACAGTTATTTAAGTATTCTTAAACCTGGGACTTATTTTTGTATGTCTTTGAGTCCAAATCACTTATAGATACAGAAAAATCTTGGAAATGACTCAGAGAATTGCTTTAGCAGTAATGGCTACAACCCAATCTTCATAGGAAAACAAAACTGCTCGAAGTACATAACACCTGGGGATCTATTCTTGTGCCCGCCGGCATTGCGGCGGAGGGTGGCACACCCCGCAAAGTGGTATTTTCGTCTGGCAGAGCCCGGCACACAGTCAGTATGGTATTTTCGTAGACTGAGGCACATCGAGGTCAGCCAAGCTGGGTGTGGTGGCGCGGTAGGGGGAGGTGTCGACAGAATCAGCTAGCGCAGTGACATTTTCGTGCTCGTTGATTCAAACCTCGTCAGCTTTCAGTGCAGGCAGAGCACAGCTGATCTAGTGGTATTTTAGTAGCCTGGTGGCGTAGTTTGCATACATCACCAATGTCTCACCGGCAGTTTCCACAGTGTCAGGCACATTTCTGTGCAAAAAATAATTAACAACAACCAATATTCAGTGCAACTATCTGAGTTAGCACATACATTTAGATCTATATTGATTTATTGTGATATATAAAACTTATCGGATGAGCGTGTTTGGCACACATTTGACACTCCTCCTGATTGAATTAACACAGATGAAACCACATTAAATGAAATATCCAGTTAATAGTCACGCATGATGAAGTTAACAAGATATTTAATTAATTTCCCCCCTTTTTCTCTTGCCTATGCCGAGTAGTGGGCGAGGCATGAAAATAGAGCCCCTTAAGTTTTTGTTTACTTCAGGTGAACGTAAGCCACCGACAGGCTCCATTTTTTTTTTATTCCTTGTGTTGAGTCTAAAGATAAACCTTTTAATACACAGGTCAGACCCTGTGTCCACCGATGGCATGTTTTGTGCTAACAAATTCAGTCGAAGAGCGTTTAACACCAGCCGTTACTGATGCTAAACTACAAGAGCTGGGCCACAGCAGATTCAGTTAGTCTCTGACAAATCTGTTGTTAGAGGAAAAATGCAAACATGTTTTGTCATAAGCCTCAATGTGAATGTGGAAGTTGTACCCTGGAACAGGCTAAAACTGGTTGTTTTAGTCTGCCTACCCTTTCTTGAGTTTGACTGGTAGCTGAGAAAAAACATCACTGTTGACAACATGGCGGGTGAACTAGAGTGCTGTGAGAACGCAGTGTCAAAAAACAGCTGACACTGACACCTGCCTGAGCTCCCACAATTCAGGGCCCACCACAGCAGATATGCACAGGTCCTAATTTTGCCAGGCGACAGCACACAGTGCATCAATTAGCACACAAAACCAACTTAAAACATCTGGTTGACTTTCAAAATAAAACACTGCAAATTTGCCACAGAGAGCAGAGTCAGGCCCAAAGCCAAAGTTTCTCGGGATCCGTTGAGGAGGTATAGAACCATTGATTCTGTAGTTATCTCTGTAGATCCTTGGTCTCATGACTCCAGCAGTCCAGGGGTTGCTGCTTGATGTTGTAATCTAAAAATACAGCAGGTGGTGTTGAGGGTGAAGAGGAGGTATGGATCTGAACCAGATCAGAGCAAAGACAGACTGACGATTGAAGACGCTGAGTGCTTAAAATCCTGAACTGCATTGGTGTTGATGAAATAATAGGAGCTGCTGGCACAAATAAATAAAAATAAAAAAAACACGGTGAGAAGATAAAAGTGTTGGATAGTGTTTGTGAATTTGGTGGCTGTGCTAATCGTAAGTGCCTTTGCCTCTAAGGATTGTGCCTTAGGCATGACTGCTTAACTCATTGCCCCAGATTGGAGCAACGACAGAACTTGTATCTCTTTGACAAGCTTTGTAAAATAGAACCCAGGTTTAAAAGTACCAAAGTAAAAAGATTTACAAAAGAGAAAAGAAAACAAAATCTAGAATTTATGATGCTCAATAAAACACCAAAGTTATTCTCAAACAATAAGAGAAGGTCAAGAAAGTATTTACAAGATCCAATTATGTTTCAACAGTTCCTGTTCTTCTCCTGTGATACTTTTTCTTTATTCACAAGAACCACAACATGCTGGAGTCCAAGAAGTTTCTGAGTTTTGATCCTCACTGAATGCTCCCACTTCTTTTCCGAGTGAGATATAAAACAAGTTTGCAGAATTCCTCAAAAATGTACTTGGCTCCTTGTTCTGCTTCCTGCAAGATCATTGTTTTAGAAACCCTGTCTCTGCATGACAGAAAGTTTTATCTCAAAGAAACCTGTCAGGACAAGGTTCATTGTTACATGGGACACACTTTGTTCTCTGGGATGGGCAGCTGGGCAAACGAGCCACAGTCGGTTGGAGAATCGTCCGACCTGGCTGACGCAGTGCCACCCACGGGGATACGTGCAGCTATGGCAGACATTTCTCCTGTTTGACTTTCAGCTGTGATTCCAGGTCTCTCTGAGGTCTGGTTCATGTTGCTGTCCGGGATGTGACCCATACCAGTGAAGAGCTGGATTAGGCACTTCCTGAACTGAAAAAAACAAAACAAAAAAAAAAAAAACACATGAATACAAGTAGTCAGCATGATTAGGAGCCAGGTTCAATAAATAGATCCTGCTATGTGCTGTAGCATCAAGACAACCCTGTGTGTGAAACTGATGCATTCCTTTCAGGAAAGGTTCCTTACTTGGTCCCAGGACACATCACTTTTCCACACTTGTATGGACTTTAAGATCCTGTTTATATGTGCTTGGTTATTTTTAAAATCTAAGAGATTAACCATAGCCCCTGAAAATGATGCTTTTTACAAACTACGGCCAGAGCGGAGATTTTATAAAACTCTGTTTACACATTTGCATGTAAACGGACAAAAACTGAGGTAAACAGAGATTTGGGTAGCCGACAGCAGATTGTGTGCCGGAAACTGGGTTAAATGTGAAATTGTTTACAATCTAGAGTCTATGTTTACAGTCCATGGTGATCATGGATGTACGCAGAATAGCAGTCACGTTTATGCTGGTGCAATCCCTTTATATTTGTTTGCAATTGCATTTGCGTCTTTTCCAAAGGGAGAAAGTGACGTTGTTGTTGTTGCTATGCAGGATTCTGATTGGTAAACGTGGACTTGAGCTTCTCGCTACACTGCCGCCTATAGGTTGGTATGCTCTTGACGGCATATATACATGGGTTAGTGTAAATGAAAACTTTTCTAAAAACGTAGTGGTGTGCACACAGTTTTTTTTTTTTTTTTTGGTAAACGGAGAGGGTGAAATGTCCGTTTGCGAAAATAGCCGGTCTAAGGTTACCCAACTGACCCAACCGGAGGTTGTCTCAAAACTCTGGCTCTTCTCAATTGGTCACTTCTAGGAACAGAGACAGAGTTTTTATTACCTTTCAAATTCACTCCACCACTGACCATCTAAATAAACATTCATGCCTCAACCCAGGTCTCTCATTTAAGATTTAATTGTGTGCACAAATGGAATCCAAGGAAAGGTCTAAGAAGCTACACACTGACCTCCAAACCTCTGTCATGTAACCCTGCTCAACTATATACTGATAAAAACTGCATTGCTTTGGTAAAAGAATACAAAATGACTGGTAATGACCTCTGCCTCACTCAGCATTGTTTTAGTCTTTTGTTTTGTGTTTAAATAAGAGGCAGTGTTTCCCCTAAATTCATTCAGCAGTGGCGGTGCTGAATTACATGCGCTGCTACTTAAATTTCACATGATCGTTAATATCGCCACTAAAACCTGCCGGACCCTCTTCCATCAACATGAAAGGTAACGTTCAAAATACATGGTCTATATAGTAAGTAGCATTAATAGCATTAGTAGCGTTAATATCAGTACATCACTAATGATTTCTACACGCACTATGTGAGCACAATAACACACAATGTTATTTTTCACTTTTTTTGAGTTATCAACGAGTGGATCAAAATCTTGTCGGACCCTCTTCCATCAATGTGAAGGGTAATGTAGCGAGTAGCGCGGGTAACGTAACATAATGTGAACATAAATGCGTAGCTCCTTGAGCAGCAATAGATTGGGGGTAACAGCGAAAACCCCTCCCCCATCTCAGTGTTTAGGGTAAACACTGAGATGTTTTCTGTTTTTCTATGTGATCCATAAGCCAAACTATCACTCTGAGAGAATAAATCCTTTATTCTTTATCATTCTTGATTATAACAAAAACATGTCAAACTGTTATATCATGTCAACGTACAAAGTACATTTTGCAGAACTCAACAGCTGCAAAGAGGTATAATCCCTCTCCCCACAAATCTTATGGAAAAGCTTCTTCGCTTTCTCCTTGTTCATCTCACACTTCTAACTATAAAACATTATTTTGCTTTGAACCTAATCAAATTGGACAATGTTGCTCTACATTTAATGAATCATCCCTGAATCAGATCATGACCATCAAGAACTGGATGTGATTGTATTGTTTTGAAAAGGACACCCTATTTGCATGTGTGAATGAGCTTCATTGAGACAGGTCAACCTTAGCCTAAGTAACTCATGCAGTCAGAAATTTCACTGTCAGGTACTGAAGATCCACTGACCCTATTAGCCTCAGTATGGCTGGGATCAGACGCTGTCTTCTCACTGTCCTTATTCACATCTAGTCCATGTGTTTGTGCAGACACTGGCTGACCCATTTAAACAGTGAGTGCAGCTCAGAATTGGGGCAATCTGAAGGACATGAAGACTTCATGCAGCTTCCTGGCACATACATGTAGAGCTGGACCTCTGTTTTTAGATCACTTCAAACCCAACTCCTAGCAAGCCTTGTGTTTTTTATTTTTCATTGTGTTTGTTCAATTTGGGCTTGACAGTTTTAAAGTTCAGCTTACTGGATGAACTTTAAGAAGTGTGCTGATGGAAATTAAACCTGTCATAGAATAAAACATGGGCATCTGAGCAATTGGTTTCTAGGAAGGATATGCAGACATTAGGATGTTGTTGAAGTGTAACCAGGCCTTTCCCAGGAAAACTTTAAACAGCAGTGACCCCAAACTGCAGAGAGAGGTGAAGTTAACTGATGAGTAAATTCTACGCAGCATGTTTGCATTTACCAGGCACACAAAGAAACCAAAGTGTAGCTCTCTGGGAACGGTCAGGACGCTGTGGGGTCTAGTTTTGCACACACACCGCTTTGTTTGAAGACTGGATGGAGCTGCAAGTTCATCCCCATGAATCATGTGCTTATAATTATAAAATTCTTCAATGCCATTAACAAGAATCCATCAAGAATAAGATTTTATGTTAAACATGACTACCATCAAGTCAGTTTTAGTTGCTGGAGTTATTTCATTTATTTGTTTATCGGTTAAAGAAAGAAAGATAAAGATTTAATGAAAACACCTACATATAAGTTCCCTACTGGAGCCTTTCATACAATTTTGCTTGGTGAAGCCCTGACAAAATTTGTGGCATTGCACCAATCAATTGTTACCTTGGTGCAACCTAAAAATTGATAGTTTAAATAACTATTTTGACGGCTTATACTTGGCATACAAAAAAATCTGTTTTTATCTATGGAAGCCAAATCAGGGACAGGGGTTGTAAATCAGCACTTAGAAACCTGCTTGCACTGCATTTTTGTACACACTATGAAGCCATGTCTCATGTTTTTGTCAAATTAAGAAGCAAATGGATAAAAAATTATCTGAATTTGAATTAAATTAGTCCTGCCTGGATAGAAACACTCTGCTCTAGTAGCAGATTTGTCTTGTAGTCAGTGTTTACACTGCCTGACCTGTTTAGCACTGCTGACTTACATAAATAAAGCAATTACTCAGCCGCCATTCTCCAATTAACAGCTTGTTAAATCCTGTTACTTCGGTTTTATTTGGAACACTATAAATCTTTCAGGCAGTAAGGGAAACAAATGTTAGTGTGCAATAAAAAACTGTATCTTGACATGAAAGGAATCTGTTTAGAGCCCCGTGTCTAGAAATAGACACAACTATTGCAACATGGCTCTAAGAGGTAATGAAGTATTTTGTAGCCTGGGATAAATCCATACTGTGGGGTCTAAATGACTAATATGTGAGAGAAAATGAAACTTCTCCTGTAGATTATTTTCGGCCTGCAGCCTATCTAGAGGGCCTGTAGTGGCTGTAATTTAACCCTGCGGGGAAAATGAGCCCATATACAGTCTTACCTTTAATATTTCTGAGACGGTGAGAGGGGGTCTACTTACAAGCTAAGTGTATGATAACATTAAAGAAATGAATCTGTTCTATGAAAAGCTTTCATGGGATATGATGTACTTCCTTATTTATCATCTGTATGTTTTACATGTCTTTTGCCCAGCTCTCTTCAAATACACCAGACTCCATTAATGAAAAAAAACATTTTATTTCAAAGATTATGTGTCTGAATAAAAAAAAAAAAAAGACAATATATTTAACCACAAAACAACAAAAACTAATCAAGGAAGATGGAGTTAATAAAAGTTATGTTCCCTGTAATGTGTAACTGTTAGTTTTTGTCAAAGGAGTCTTTTCAATTATTTAATTGAAATCTTCATCCTGTTCAGGTAATAAAAAGTGTATTTCTGTCGGGATCTTTTCTGCTATAGTTACAGACGTAACATTTTCAGTCAGTCAGTATAAATAATACAACACACTTTCTTCAGCCTTGGATGTTATTGATTATCCCATTCCAATTGTGGTACAGTACTATGACTGGCTACAAAGTTATCAACATCATCCCTCTGATATCTGCCACAAGTCGACTTACTCCAACTGGAAATTGTAGAGGGAAGTTTGCAAGAGAAAGTCTGGGTGAAGTCAGGACAAAACTAACTCTATTACTGTTAGCATTCAAAGATGCAACCCGCCCTGAATGCAAGTCATGAGTCATCCTCTCGGATGTAAATGCTAGTGTACAACAAAAAGCATGCAAGCACCTTTGAATGAAGTGTCTACTTCAATGGGAAACTGTAAAAAGATTGCACTGTGGCTCAAACTATTGGTAACCCAAGTGTTAAAGAAACGCATATAATCCCTCTTTTGTAATGGCTGCTGTCATTTAATCAATAGAGAGTATATACTCACTCACCCTGACAAATGGTGAGACAGCACAATGTAAAATTGAATGGGTAAATGGCATGAAATGCCAGCATTGGTTCTTTTACAATCATACAATAGATGGCTAATGTATTTTTTAACAGATCCATGAACGGACAATTGTACTCTCCAAATTTCACCTTTCTTTTATTCATACAGCATGCATTATTGAGCAACAGGCCAATATCCACCAAGAACAGAAAAATATCTTCAGCTGCTGCTATCTTCTGCTTCAGCCACTAACCCTCCATCCTGCTGTAGCCATGATGATACTGAGAGCTGCAAAAAGTAAATGACTACGCCAAAACCACTACGATCAGACTGAGGAAATCCTCAATAGGTCTGTCATTAAAAAAAAAGCCTTAGTTACCTGTTTGTTCATGAAGACATAGATGATAGGGTTGTAAACAGCTGCTGTTTTGGAGAAGAAAGCTGGGATGGCTGCCAGTCGGGGGTCAAGTTCGATGGTCGGATAGGCAGTGACCAGTAATGAAAAGGCTGCGTATGGTGTCCAGCCAACCATGAATGCTATGATCATCACCACCACCATACGGGTCACCTGACGCTCTGGCTTCCTGGCTGTGGCGAGACGACCATGGGACACCTGAAGGAGACAAAGAACCAGGACACAAGTGGCTTGAAAGTTTGGACTGGGAAATATGAACACATTTCAAAGAGATTTCAAAGTTACTGCCTTTTACTAAGTCCTTTATCTTAACAACTCTCACGTTACTTGGTTGCTTTTATTCATACTTGTTCAACATACAGACAAGTTTAACACTTCTAAGCAGGTTGAATAAAAATCCCAAAAGTGTGTCTGGGTAAACCATAATCCAAGAGTGAACAAATTATCAGTGAGAAATGTTTATTTTTGATTATTTGGAATTTGGAGGGAATCTCACTTCCAATTTGAGTATGATCTTTTTTTTTTTCTCTTGTCTTTCAGAAAGTCAGTCCTGGATGAACTTTTGTATTGGCGGAAAGCACTGGCCAAAACCAGGTACCTAATGTGATTATATCAACAAAGTGGTTTAATTTTAATATCAACTAAAATGATCTTATTCCTTCTGTTGGCACATCATTTTTTTCATACTTGGAGAAAATTGCTAATTCTTTTTATTCTCAAAATTTCCAGGATAAGATTTACAACACTGTCATATCTGTACGGATAAAAGCCAAGCTTTGGACGGACAATGGCAACAGATGGGAACAACAAGCCAGGTTTAGTCTTAAGGCATTGACAAAAAAGTAGTAACTTTGTAAAACTTTCCCATTTCCATTTTTTTTTTAAATTCTTTTTACCATCAGTATAATTTGTATTTTACTATAATATACAGAATTTTACCCAAATTACAGGATATCTAAAAAGAAAAAACCTCCACACTCACTCAGACTCAACATACTTCCCCAACATTTCTTATGTTACACAGTCCAATTTATCTAGCCATTGTTAGATTTTAATGATATCCTTGTGTGTCATGTCTGAACTCATACTGACCTTCCTGAGCTTCCGTAGTAGTTTTCCATAGCAGAAAAATATTAACCCCAGGGGCAGAATAAAACAGGTGGTGAAGAAGGTAATGATGTAGCTGTGATCCTTCATGTTGGTTGAGTACCTGTTAAGAGGTTGAGAACAAAGACGTTCATATTTTCTAGACATGTAGACCTGACCATTAGAGACAGTTTAAGTATGTTTTAATGTGACAGATCATCAGTAACACTTGGGTGTTCCTTTGAACGAGGACAGAATGACAACCGATCCCATAATTCTCCAGCTATGAGTTGTCGTGAAATGTCATATTGACATTCAGATTCCTTTATCTCACTGAAGAAAAAGGATTAAAGTGTTTCCATCAATTGAGCTTCAGTTAAAAGGAAAATTTCGCAGCAGAGACCAACCTCTATGACATAATTAAAGGCCCGGAGGTCACTAAATTACTCTAATTTTGTCACTTCTATGAGAATATCCTCCACTGCTGAATCCAGATTAATGTATGTAGGAGTGCCAAGCAGACAAAGCAAGTGTAAGTATTTAAACAGCTTCATCATGGTAAATCATGGATGTATTGCTAAGAGCCCTGTAAATGAACACGTAGAAAAAAAAGCGATAACGCATACAGGTTTATCTTAACTGCCTTTTGCTAAAAAGAAACTACACAAGCGAGTGGCAGCTACCTTATTGTGATTAAGAGTCACAGTGGAGTAACAATAAATGAGACAAAACACTACAGTACAATACAAAACAAAATGACACAATAAAATACGTTATGTTAGATAGAATATTCCTTTATTGGCTCCTCATTAGCTTCTTCTAATGCAGCAGCTACTCTTCTTGGGGTCCACATTCACCAAATATAACATACCAAATGAACATTAAGTACAACAAAATAAAAGAACAAAAAATACAACAAAATATCATACAACCAGCATAAAAAAATACAAAAAAACTACATGAACATATAGTACTACAACTTAATACAACAAACATGTCAAAGGCTGTTAAAATGTTTTGTCAGCTGTCTTAGCTGGTATACTTCAGTTATCATTCTTGGTAACTTATATCACAGTGTGATAGATCTATACATTAGAGATCTACACGCTGCATTAATCCTGGTCCAAAGTGAGCTAAAACTAATGCTTGTGTCACAAGCACTCTTGTGGCAGATGTGAGAAAATAGGAACATATTCTTTATATGATATCCCATAACTCATTTTCTTCACATGGGTTCTTGTTACACCTAAGCTAAAAAGTGTGCAGATGGGGGAGATGGGAGGGGCTGGCAGGCCATTTTCATATATTTTGGGGGTGTCCAGTCATTCAGTCATAATGGCAGGGGGTGAAACAGGCGATACAGAAGGTTTTTGGTGTTTAAATTGACTGCTCCTCTCCAGCAATCTATTTGAAAAAGATCGTAGCTAGCTTGTTTGTGCAGGACAGGTATCTGTTCAAGATTCTAATGGCGGCCAGCAAGAAAGCGGTTTACACGAAGGTGGCTGCAGGCAGTTCCCCCAGCAGTGACTGACTGGATAGATATTGTGAATACTATACAGAATATGGAGAGAATGACCTTCTCACTAAATCACCTGCAATACAGGAAAAAAGGCTGGAATTGACCGGATGACATGCGCCTCTACCATGCACGACATCTTGTCTAAGACGATCTTCTCCGTTGATGTTGACATGTACTGGGCACGTGCGCCATCAGAAATATATATGGTGCATATCCTTAGTGGAGCAGCTTGTAGAGATACTTCTGGGACAGAGTTGAGACGTGCTGCAACGCATCATGTGTGCGATGCTGCATTGATTAGAATGGGAACATATTTGCTGTGTAGCACTTAACCTTCACGTATTCAACCTTCATGTATTCTGTGGGTTTTGAGATTAAGACTTGGATCTGAAAACTTGACTCAAAGTCAAGGTTTGTAAATCAATTATAACACTGCTGTTTATAAATCCTTTTTTTTTAACTTACAATGTATTGACCTCAAGTGCAAGACCCGTCAACACCACAGCAGACCTGTGTGTGATGGTCTGTTAGGGCCTTGCACTTCACAGCTGATCCATGTTAACTCTTGTTACAGCTGCAGCCGTGCCTCCACTCTGGGTGTGTATGTGTGTGTGTGTGTCCCCTTCTACCTTGTTTGGTAGTGCCTGTGTATGTGGCTGCAAGGGAGTTTTTGTAAGAGGATGTTGCTCTTACAGGACTACGGGATTGGGTAATGGGTCGAGACTGCAAGACCAACTGGGGAGGAGCGGCAGAATCAAGAGGCTGCAGATTCAAGTGGGGCAGACACTCGCATGCTTAGATCCTTTGTTAGGTTATATGTGTTTGTACCTTGTGTGTGTGGACTTTGCTTTTGTTTCCAAGGTTAGCACCACGGTACATCTCTGCTCACCTCACAGGCGTTTCTCCGCTACACTAGCCAAAGTGTCACATCTAATTTTGACAATGCCTGTGCTCAGAATAGGTCGTTGAACAGAACAGATGTTCCCAGACAGACCCTTGACTTTATATCAGATGATATGGATATTTTGTTAACTACAAAACAGCCACAAGGCTGTGATTGGTATGGATCACAACATGCTCCTTAGCTCCTTGTCTGTGATCAACATAATCAAACAAAATCATAAGCTTTACACATACTTCATAGTTGTGCTGTCATACACTGAAAAACACTGGAGAAAACTGAGGGGTATGTGACTGTAGAGGCAACCACTGGAAAAGGCTGTTTCTTATATGTGTTTTCACGAGTGTAGCCTTGAATTTTTAATATGCTTACCACTGGTGTCATGGCTGGTTCATTCTGCATGCCAGAGCAAAGTGTGCCCATATGGAGCCCCCTGCTTTTCATTATCGAGCACATATGAACAGGTTTCAGTAGCCTCACAGCCCAGGAGAGCAGGCATGTTTACGTGCTTCCAATGAGCCAAAGATCTGTGTGCTGTGTGCTGTAACAGCACAGAGCTGAGAGAGCTTCATGATTTTCTAAACAACAGATGGATTGCCTTTTGATGTTAGCTTGTTGGGGGACAATAAAGATAACCACTAGCCCCCTTTACATTGCAAATTCCCTGCAGGACTTTTAAGCCTCCATCGCATCTTCAACATAAATGTTAAAATGGCGCAATAGTGGGACCATGTTGTCCCACTGAAAACCATTAGGGTGGGCTCTTCCACTTTTAAACCAAGCGTGAAACAGCTTTATATTGTTTGTACCCAATGGCCTGGCCTGGTTCAGTAAAGTCTGCTAACAGTTGGTACCAATCTGGCTTGATTTTGCTCTAGTGTCCACAATCAACTGTACCCTTTGGTGCTTCACACAGAAAGCATGTTGGCTGCCTGATGGCTCTAAAACAACTTGGCTTTCTTTCAAGCATGCATGTTTGACATATCTTCCTGTCAAAGTCTGTATTTGCTTTGTATCAGTTATATTTACATAAAAAAGCCTGATTTATTTTTGTAGAGAGACTCCCCCTTGTTTTCGCACAATGCTTCACTTTGTTCAGTAAAAAAAGGTCACTTGTGTAGCTCTACCCTACAATGAGTTTTCATCAAAAAAAAAAGTTGTCTTCAATCACATTGACTCCAGGTGAGTTATGTACAATATTATATAGCAACATTTCCTCTTGCTCGATTTCCCTCTCCCTTTGCATCTATCTCTGTTCCCCTCGCTCTGCTCAGCTGGTGTTTGTGTTAACACATGCTGTCTAATAAGATCATTTCCTAAAAAGACCCGGTGTCTAAATCATAGATTTTAGATAGAATGGATAGCAACTGCCTCCTCGCTGGGTGAAGCCACCGCGAGAACAGCACCCTCTGGTGACGGGCTGCAGTATAGGTCATAAATCCCGCCTCCTACAGCCATCCCTATGGAGTTGTGGACAAACTTTAGAAATTTATACAAATTTTTCTCCCCCCTGCTTGTGATGTTGACATGTAGTTACTGTAAGACTGGTTTGTGCTCAAGTCTTCTTTTTTCTGTACAGCTCAGTTTTCCAAAGTTATTAGGGGGTTCATGTTTTCTATGATTGACACTTGATACAGCCTCTGGGCGTACGGAGATTGCGTAGCTCACCTGGGGGATACGCTGTTTGAGCCGAGCATCATCACAGCGACTCTCTGTGACTCTCCCGCCAAATGCGTACAACGCTACTGCACAATGTTTGTTTAGTTCAGGACGTGGAGAAAAAACACGGAAATACCGAGAGTATTTGTAAGTTGTCCATAATATATACAGTCTATGGTCTGAATGAACCATTAACTTGTGTGTTTTCAGTCATTTGCAAAACCCGAACAAAGGACTAACTTGGTTTTCACATTTTGCAAGGCCCAGGTACACAGTGCAACAATATGGAAAGAGTTGGTTTTCCATGAAATCCCCTTAAAAATGCACAATATCACCTGCTTTGATTTACCGCAATATGATGAATCAAAGAAACCTTGTATTATATGTGTCATATCACCAGATTCTTTCCACATCACAGCTGGACTTTTTAAAATGATTTTTTTTAAATGTTTTACTTGACTCTAAAGTCGACATGGATTATTTTTCAAAAAAGGATATTCACTATTCACCTTTTGGAATAAAAGTATAATCAGGAGCCCAATCTAACACTCACACATCAATAGTCCATAGGCAGGTGCTTGAACTGCTGTTTGAATGCAGATTTTTCAGGCATGCATTTAAAGCAGGAGACTCCATCTGTGTTTCTCAATAACAACCGCCCGTCATTATAGTGAATTCTGAAAAGAAACCATTTATTGGAAGAAGATAATATCCAAACCCCCACCAAGGACACAAACACCTTCAGACACCGGCCTCTCCAGCACAATCCTGCCTGACCTTTTCATGTTTGCTCTTTTTGCATTAAAGGAGTTCAGCTTTGATGATGCATATGCAAAACGATGCACATAAATGAGGCTTTTAAGACGCATCCAGCTGTACATGCGGCAGCATTCTGCACCTGCTGGACCTCCCATCGTTCACCAAATGTTTTTTGACAGATCTCACGCTGCGTGCAGGTGGAAGAAGATCAGGTCATCTATTCACCTGGTATTTCCAGTCAGTGATGTCCTAATTGTATTGTCTGAATCATTCATTCCCCTTGTGCTTTATGTGAGCGAAGGTTCCCACACACTGCTCGGGGCAAACACTCAGCCCCCTATCTGCCCGCCTTTGATCAAAGCAGCCAAATAGCATTACCCAGGTGGCACCCTGAGGGCCAAGGTCAGAGCTGCTGTGCTTCCTGATGATCTTCATAAGACTTATTTACATAGTATGAGCCTATAGAACTGAAGCTGCTATGCAGAGCTGAGCCACAGGGCTTAGAGAGGAACATAACCTTTGTCCTTTAACTGTTTGTGTTCAAAGTGTGTAGTAAGAGCAGTAATTAGCACACATGTATTCCTGGACTACATTTCCTGTTGAATCACCGCAGAAAGCTAAACTCGGGTTTAAAGGTCAGGGTCAGAAGTGGAGTCAAAACTGCTACTGACTAATGGGCAATAAGGTCATATTTTGGGTCAAAAGAACGCCAGGAAATAAATTATGATGCAGATTTCTATTGTAGTACCCTCACTTTGCTGGGACCATCATTAAAATAAGAATAAGAATAACTTTACTTTATCCCCAAAGGGCAATTTAATTGTTTTTAGTCTTACGTCTCAAAAAGTCAATAAAAGTAAAGTCAGTAAAAGTCTCATAAAAGCAAAATGCAAGACATTTGAAAGTGGTAGTTGTTTGAAGTTCAAATGACCTTTTCTGAAGCAATCTTAAGATAAGTTATACAGATACAACTTACATGACCTGATGACCTGCCTCCTGAGACAGAGATTTGAATACGTATCTTGCACTTAAACTTGCTATTAGTCTATATTAGTATGTAATCTATATTGTGTTATGCAAAGATTTAACTCTTAGTGAACTTAGACATTTACACTGCTTTTTTTTAAAATTAAGTCTATAAAAGTTGACACTATTCCTGTTTGTATTATGAATGAAACATAAAATGTCACGCAGCTGTTGTTCAATGTGACATCCTTCACTGTATTGTAACTGTACAGGTAAATTTTAACTTGTATTTCTGCTGTCTGATTGTTTAAAGACTAATAGCTTAACAACAAAATAATAGTTTCTCTCACCAGTCAGGTTCACAGGTGGTCCCGATCTGGCTCACTGTGTATCTGTTCCAGCCCAGGACAGGAGGGAAGGTCCAAATGAAGGAGAAGGTCCAGACAAACAGCAGACCTAAGATGGCATGCTTGGCTTGCAGACGGATGTTTCCAAGGGGTCGGCAAATCACAAAGAACCGCTCAAAGGACAGGACGGCGAGTGACCACAAGGCGACGATCCCTGGAGAAGACATGAGAGGTCAAAAACTAAAGAAAGTGTGTCCTGGGATTTGTTGTTATTATTTGTGAATGTCTCAACGGTGTGTTTTCTTTATTTATCTATTTATTTTTGTTCTTTGACACTAACAAGGCTTGATACTATATTTTCTACCATTTCTCCATATCTTATATAGAGGATGTGAAATCTGTTAGATATGATAGCAGTGTTCAGTTATAGTCTTCTTCACCTTACTTTGATTTTTATTTTCTATGATTTTACTTTGTGTAGCTTTATGATAATTATTGTTTTATTGCTGCAAAGTATGAGGAGCAGCTTTTAATATGATTGATTTTTATCTTTGCACTCCCTTTTTTCTAGAATATCCTTTATTTTCAGAAAATTAAAAAGTAAATTTAATTGATAACAAAAGCAGCAAATCATTCTATTTATAAAGCCTAAAACAACCAAGATTTGTCTTTTTAAAGAAACCATACATAAATTATGTGAAGTTCAGGTGGAGATCTTCATGTTTCTCTATATCCAGCTTGTTTGGTAACTACATCTCCCCCTAGCGTGATCATGTTCCTTTTTCTTGATAAAGTATCCTAGCTCTGTGCTTTCCAGAGGTAAAAGTGGTGACACTGGTGCTTAAAATAGTTCAAAGATCTGCAGGTAGGAGCATTAGACAGCCTCCAAATGCGCTAAAAAAAGCCAGCTTTAATTATGGTAATAAGTCACTCTCACAGAGTGGTTAATTACCTATCTCTCTCTCTCCACAGTCAGCACTACAGCCAGCTCACAGGAGAGGACAAAAGAGAAGGGAGAAACCAGGGTGTTTGTTCACTTAAACAATTACCAACCAAACTTCAATGCTGTTTTTGGTAGCTGACCATCAAAGAGTGTTTTTCTCCAAAACTTGTCCATACAATTCAGTACATTCTTAAGTATTTATCTGTGCAGCACAGGTGGGACTAAAAATAGACAGAAACTGAAAATATTCTCCCCCGGAGCAGAATATGAAGTGAAGCATCCATCCACTTACTGAGACAACCAGCTCAGCTAAATCATTTTCTAATTTACTCACACACACACAAACGCCCGCACACACACACAAAGCACGCCTGTCAGTCACCAAAAATGCTGTCACAGCTAAAACTGGAGTGGCCCAGTGAAGATGGACACGATTTCTCAGCTTGTTATTGATTACATGCTCGGGTGGCTTTTCACAGAACAGTTTATTTAAGCACCACTGCACCCCAGCCCCACCCTCCCCCAAACTCCCCACATGGTTATGTTCATTCTCATCCATGTACATGTATGGTAATAAAATGCATCTCCAAGGATCCCATATGCAGCATACATACACACACTGAAAACATTCAACAATATGTAATCTCTGAATTTATGTTGTGTTGTAATTTAAATTCACTATAGCTGTGTCAGTGCTTTTTTAATAGCCTGCTTTTCTTTGCAGATTTAGATCTTAAGGTGCTTTTCTACAGCACAAACTTTCCTCAGGAAATAGGAACATTTTAAGGAACTCTGGATTTTGGCAGCAGGAACCAGGATCTCAATTTAGTTCCTGTGTAATAGATATTCCTCTTGAAAAGTCCCTGTTGGAGGGTAGTACTTGTGCTGAAAAGGATTACTGTACACCTGATTGTGTTGCAGGTAAATCAGAGAAGGGTGAACCTGAATCATTGAGAAGAAATTCCTACACACCATCTCGCTTTTGCTGATATCTTTAATCATGCACTGTTAAGGATATCAGCAAAAGCGAGACAGTGTTGGGTAGTGCTTTCCAAAAGTCCAGGAACTTCCGGGGGCGGTACCTAGGGACGATCTTATTTGTACTAAAAAAGACAAGCAAGTGACTTCATTTATCAAATAACTGCCAGGACAAGTTTTTTTATGAGTCATTGTTGACCTGATTGGCAGAATTTTCATGGGTCACAGTGGAAACGCAGATGGGCCAAAGGAGCTTTTAGTTCCTGGAACTAAAATCTCCTGACATTTTTGGTTGGATTTTAAGTTTTGTTGCAAAAGTGAAGCTAGTGCAAACCTACGTCTCAGTTGATTTATACCCTGGGAGACACTTTCTTAAAACTCCAGCGGGGAGTTTTTTTTAACATCTTTTGAAGAGACTGAAATTCACATGCCTTTTGAAGATAAACTAGAAAAAACAAAGACATCAGTGAAGAGACCGATCATTTATAAGCAGTAATATCAATGCCTTAAACCAGTGTGAGGTGGTAGGTGTCTGGAAAGCAACTGAAGAAACAGTCTTGTCTTTACTGTTTCTACATCAAATATTCACAATAAATGAAACATTTGACTGACGGGACTAAGAAGAATGAGGTTTTTTTTGTTTTTTGTTTTATTTGTTTTGTGAGAGTACTTAAACATGACAAGCAAAGACTCCTTTTGTCAAAATTAATACAAACCCATAGTTCCTCACAGGGGTTTTAAAGAGTTCTCAGTCTCTAGTTTCAAGTCTTGTAAATACAGAATGAAGCTTTTTCTGTAAATTATGGTCCATGAACCTCAAGTGGAGTCAAACAGACCGTACAGAGAGGAAATACAGGCTAAAATATCTTGTTATTGACAAGTTACAACCACTACACCTGCAAAAGTACTTTGGAGAACTTTAGTGGATATCTGACCTTTTGAGTTTATTTTAAAAACCGAAGAAATGCATTACAACAAAAGTGAACATTGCATAATATCTTAAAGGAATATAATAATTTCAGTTTGACAAACCAGAAAAAATATTTACTTCACCTGTTTTTCTTCAGTCATTGGCTGCGTTAGACCAACCACTGTTCCCACAAAGGCAAATTATTAATTTATTTTGTGTTTGAGTGAAATCTAGCTGAAACCATGAAAAGCAAAGCTGAAACCTTCAGTATGTTGAGTAATAATGCATTTGATAGTAATGTTTGACTGCCTACCTGTCTACAGGTATTTGTTTAAAAAAAGTTGTCAATAAACCAATGGGTTCACACGTATAGCTTTAGCTGACAAAAAGACAAGGCAAAAAGATATGGGATATTATGGCTCACAGACAATACCAAAATTACCTTTTACAGTCCCACGAGTCAAACTAACAAATGCAAACATTATTTTAGATTTAAGTCACATGGTGCAGATCGATTTCTCCTCAGTTCTTGTTCTGTATTCAATTTTCCAGCAGGTTCATGTGGTGTGATAGAGATGTCCTGTGACTGTGTTAACTCGGTTTCTATCTAAGTTTACAACTATGACCTCACAAACCTTGTTACTTCATTCATTAAGCAGTCTTTGCCTGTATTTGTCAAGTAATTTCCCTCCCCTTGATCACCATTCCTGCAGGCTGCTTGAAAGACACCACTGGCCCAACCAAACCACTCCAGTGACTTAGTGTCATGTTATTGGTGCTCACAGTACTGGCAGCCTACCTCTTGGTGAATTATGCGCTGCAGTGTGAAGGGGCTCCTGAGCGTGGCTGTGCATTCTGTTAGACTTTTTTAGTGACCCTACAGTCAACTTGAAATATTCATTTAGCAACAGAAGAGGGGAAATGATGCAGGTGTTGTTGACAGGAACCCACACTTCTAAGGCAATATGAAAACAGACACCTTTGGATCACTATCTGAACTACACCATAGTTTTTGGCAACACATTATCACTTTTAATTTAGCAGATTGCTCATTGTACTTAATTGTGTTTATGCCTGGGAATATTGTTTTTGCTGTTTTGCATTATATTTCAACATTTTCTGTCTTGATATTCACTAATTTACTGCATCAAACTTACAAATGAAGGCTGGGAAGTATTCTGCACACAGTCATGATCATTGTGTAAGAGTTTGATGTTGATGCAAAACTGAATTGATTTGCACAAATAACCTTTAAAGCTGAGAAAAGACCTTTTGAAACGCCACAAAAGGCAAATATTTTGAAATATTGCTGTCCTCCGCACCTTGAAAAACCTAATTCATGCCCTTTAAAATGAACTGATGAGTACAAAAATAGTGGGCTATCACTCTTTAAAAAAGTGAGGAAACAGAAAAAAGTAGAAGCTTCAGTGAACACGATCGGTCATGTTTCTCCCCTTTCCTCCCAGATGCTCTAATTCATGAACAGATGTTGTAGTGAGAGCTGGAGACGCGCCATGTGGAGCAATTTTACTCGCATCTCTGCCACATGTGGAGCATAAATAGCTCCAACACTGACACCTACAGTTAACGAGGAAGTTCTGTCGACCAGCCCTGCACTTGTTACACCAAAACACGAGTGGAAGAGACGCGTACTTACCAAAAAAAGTCACAGCAAACCCTTCCAGTACACAAGCCCACCTCCCCAGGAAGAAGTAACCCCTGGCGTTCGTGAGGAAACTTATTACTCCGCCTGTGAGTGAGACCAGAAAGTCCGCGATGGCCAGGTTTACTATGATGTAGTTCAGCGGCTGTCTGAGCTGTTTGAATTTAAAAGTGACGAACATGACGAGGAAGTTTTCGCTCAGAGACAGCGAGGTGACCACGAACATCAGCACGGCCAGGACCGTGAAGTTCCACGGCGCGATGTTCCTGATCGGTCCAGAAAACGGGTCATCTGTAGGGGACAGATCAGTCGCCACGGTGTAGGAAACGGCGTTCACTGAGAGGCTTAAAGTATCCATAGTCCATGCCCAGAGCGCGCGCTGCCTGTTCGTTGAGAAAAAATCTGGTTTGTGATTTCTTCAAAACTTTATGTTAAGTGTCTCCTGGAAAGTCGCGCTCACTTCTTTGCGCTTCTTTGGAGCATCCTGCGCGCGCCGGGACTCTTCTTGCCCTCTCGTTTGCTGACGCGCATGGTTGGAGCACAGCGGCAGAAATCCGAGAGAAATGTGGCGTAAAGCCTTTGAAAAGCTCGGCTTCAAGCGTTAGGAAGCGGAGGTTCAACGCCGCATACCCGGCACGGTGCGCGCAGAGGCGATGTCCTGTAGCGCGCTGGCAGCGTGTGCATGAATGACCGATCAGTGGCATCTTAGAGGCTCTTATATAGGCGCTCCGACATCACTGCTGCCCTGCAGGAGAGGCGACAGAACCCACATGTGCGCTCCTTTGACGCGCTGCGGACACTCATGAGCGTTCAGCTGCATCACCTCTACACGACCCTCTCCACATACCGACACTTACACCCCGGATTAATGAAACAAGCAACTCTTTGTTCTTAGCCCTGGATTTACACACTCCGATCTGTGGCGTTCCAGTGCGTAACTCATTAATCATGCGTAATTAAGCACCCAGCAGGCTGAGACTTGGCTGTACTCATAATTGACCTCACGTGATCCCCCTTTATTCATTAGACGTCACACTAAAATATTCTGCTCTCAGGCAGCTTTGAGTGATATGTTTCTAACACCTGTGTGCTCAGCTGACGTGGATCGATTCCATCAAGCCTCCTAATCAACTTGTCTGCACTCTGAGCTGCTTTAGTTATGACATACAAGTTTTAAATGCCTCATGTGCCCGCTGCAGGATAATTAAATCAATAGCACTCTTTGCTGCAGCTAAATGTGGCATCAAGTGGTCAACTCACACAACAGACTGAATTTGATTAAGTTAGACCGACCACCTACCAGACCCACCTGCTTACTAATCATCTCATGAGCTTTAGGACACACTTAGCTGCTTTTATTTCACTACTGTGTCTGACAATGTTAATTTGCTAATGTGGAAAAGACAGAGCTGTTCCACTTTCAATCAAATCACATGCAATTAGAAAAAAAAACGAATTAAATCAATTTGCTCCATTCAGACATTTATTTGCATTGCTCTCTCTTTCTTTCTTTCTTTCTTTCTGTCTCTCCCTCTCCTGATACATTCTGTATTGTATATATCATTAAATATAAACAGATGTATAAATATCGATTGCTTTGTTTACATTTTGCTCATTTCCTGACATTTTTTTAGAAACTGGTTGCTCTGCGCTGAACTAAATAAACTAGATACTTTGTAAGTTTAACTTCAAAACTGGGTTAAGTTTAAGAAATGGGCCTAGGTTCAGTGTACCCTGATAAGTCCTCACATTATATCTGCATGCCTAACACTGTATAGGACCCCTTCTAATAGCACCATGACATTATCAGCAGATCCTTCATGTCCTTACAGTTGCATGGATCTGGCTTGGTGGTCAGTCCCATTTCACAGATACTCGATTTGAATGAGATCTTAGAGATCAGTTTTTTCATTGCTATGTTCCTCCAGGCCAGCGTCTCCTACTCATCTTTGGTCCAGTTAGGCACAGATTCATCTGTTTACATTTCTCAGACCTCTTGATAGACCTTTTGTAGTTATTGACCACTGTGGATCGGGAGAACCCCAAGAGAGCTGCAGTTTTTGAAGACATATCCCACCCACTGGTATTTGCCGATGTAAACAGTACCAAGTAACCAATTGAAGCTGAGATCATAAAAACAGCAAACCCATAAAAAGCGATATTTTACTGTGAAATCTCTGTTCTAAATGCTCTTTAACAGACATGATGTGAGGGGAGGCTGCCAGATGAGCTGCTGCTGACAATGTGTGCTCAAGTTTCTTCCTTGAGTGGGATCCTTCATAAAAGGAACTAATTTTATTGAAAATAACAGACCTGTTGCTTTAAGTCTGTAAGAACACTGAATAAACCAATTTCAAGAGAAAAGACACAGTTAGCGGCAGACTTTGACAATATGGTTTTTGATTGAAAGTTGAGATTAAAATGCTGCATGTGGTTCAAATTTTAAAAATATATATAAAATTTAATATATATATATATAATAATAATTATTATTATTATCATTTTTATTTTTCCATTAGAATCATTGATGTGACCTGTGACTGCAAAAAATGTGTCGATATCAGGGAGCAAGCGGAAAGCCAAACAAAACACCGTTAAAGCACCTACAGCATTACTATATAAACATACCTAAACTTTGGTGCTCAAAGGCTGAATGTGTTTGTTCTAACTTTATAGCTACAGCAGTCCAAAACAGCATCTCTGTGGACAAAAAGGGAAACGTCATTTTCAACTGGAGGCTGTTTTATGTTTCATGGTGAGATTTTGTCATTAAGTAAAGTGACCCAAGACAAGGTTCTGACCCTGAGACATTATTAGTAGCTTAGAGTTTCAAAAAGAAACATCACCTGCGAGAATCAATCGCTGTGTTGTGAAAATATTGCATGACTAGTCCAATGAGTCAACACTGACATTTAGCTGATCAGCATTTCAAAAATCAATATTTCCTCAGATATCTGACACCCTGGGGGAAAATGTAGAGATCATTTCCACTTTCTCGTGGTTTTTGTAAATCATTGTAAAATCAAAAGCTGTAATGGCAGAAACCATCAATGTATATACTTGCAGGTTTTCCAAATTTCAATACATTGATGGTCTCAAATGCCTTGTGCTTTCAAACTATACAGTATCTATTATTTTCATGAGTGATTTCAGGGTTGACAGACTGAGGTTAAACAGGCACTGAGTGTACAGGAACCTTAAGTTGGATGGGCCTATAAAAATAAAACAGTGATGACCATTAATGCAGTCACTAAGGAGCCCTTAGTTAATGACTTTGTGGAGCAGCTACTTGGGGCTGAGAGGATAAGTAGATAAATAGAGGGTAGTATGAAAATTTGATTGAATAAAAGGAAAAATGTGTACAAAAAAGTACAAAACCTTTAAAAAATCATGTGGCAGCGGAAAAGCAACTCAGTTAAACCATGAGAGAGAATAGAGTCCAATTTTCACAGTCAGACACCTGCAAAGTCTGGAGTCAGATGAATTAGCTGGTAGGCTGATTAAGCAGATTAATTTAAAGCTCCTGTGAGGAAGTCTCAGTGGCTATCAACTTTTGCAACCCCTTGTGGATAAAGCAGTCTTCATTAAATTGTCCATTGCATTCCAAAGTATAGTGTCTTATGACAAAAATATGTCACCGCATAGACTTTGGACAGTCTTTTTTTCCCCCTTTTTTATTTAATGTAAAAATGTTTCAAAAAGGGTTTGACACCTACCCCATCGCAACAATTTCAGGCAGTACAAATGAAAGAATCAAGACTGTCAATTCTGTTGCTGAGCATCTTATTTGTTAGTGTACATGTCAAAGGGATTTTCCAGCGTAAGATTAAGTTAGGGTCAAACAACATAACACCGAGTTAGATGCCCCCTTGAGAGATGGATATTGCCGATCGCTTGCTTCTCTAGTTATACCAACTTTAGTAACAACTGCAGGATTGCAATACACAGCGGTCTCAGGAGCCACGCGCTCAATTAAGAAGCCACTCTATAGCAACAAATAATACAGCACCTAACTTCATCATTTCTTCATCATTTCCTTGAAGTAATAATCCTCATATTAATCATTTTGCACTGCAGATGCGGTAGTTCTTCTGCCTTAGCGTCTCGGTCTGACTGCATTTCCATGAAGAAATGATCATAAATGTTCTTCCTTGAGCTGCTAAACTCCGCTGCGCTCGGTAATGGACTCATCTGAGGTCTCCGTACAAACAAGTGGCTGTTGGAAGAGAGTGGGTGAGTTGTATTTAGTCTCTTTGCTAAAGAAATCAGGCAAAGCTAAAATATGTTTGGTGGCTAGTGCTATGGCTGGGACCCTATTTGTACCATTGATGAAGTTCGGTGCTGTTCTGAGCATTATTTGTGGCTACAGAGTGGCGTTTTGGTTGAGGTGTGCGCGTGGATCCATAGACCACTGTGTATTGCTATGGTACGGTCGTTACTAAAGCTGGTATAACTAGAGAAGCAAGCGGTCTGCAACATTCACCTCTCAAGGGGGTGTCTAACTCAGTGTTATGCTGTGTTTGACCCTAACTCAATTTCATGCTGGAAACATGGACTCACTACCCCACTTTAAATCCAAACTCAAAACACACCTATTCCAAATTGCATATTCACTTTAACTGTCCACTTTCACACTTGTATGTTGTTTTTATTTATTTTAACTATGTTTCTAACTGTGTTTTTATGCCCTGTACAGTGTCCTTGAGTGTTCAGAAAGGCGCTTTTAAATAAAATGTATTATTATTATTACTATTATCATTAATATCCCTTGAAAAAGACATAATATGAATTCTAATCTGTTTCATCGATGTAAAAAAAAGTCAACAGAGCTTCAAGCAAAAAGCTGAGATAGTAAGGATAACCTTTCATTTCCATTCTAAGATTGTTTGAGTGTCAGCTGTTAATGACAAAAATGTTAAACAAGTTGAACTTGAATCAGTAAGTAAATTTTCATAAGGTTGTACCATTTGAAGGCTTCTACAGAAAGGCAGAGCAGTTTACGCCTCCATAACACCGCCAAGAGATAATAAACATATTTCCTGTTCCACTTTCATGTTGACTTAGAAAAGACTTGAAGGTGAAGTCCACGTCAGCGCAGAACTCTTCCTCAGAAGTGATTCACCTTCCTGCTGTCTCCTCCTCTGCCCTGTCTTTGATCTGGTGGAGGCCAGAGTGTCACAGCTCACTGATGGTCACGTAAATGAGGATTTATTATCCAGGCCGACAGTCTAGACCCTGCAGATTCCTGCCTTTTTGGTTTGGCTGGGGTCCTAAAGATGTGCTGGCTAGTTGTGTTCAAGAGGAGTCGGAAAGAGGAACCAAGTTGATAACGTAGCTTCTGCAATGGCAAATAATTTTTTTAAAATACACCACACATCATCTCCTTATGTAAAATACAACGCTCATTTATTTTAAGTTCCTAACACTAAACCATTCCTGTCAACACAATCTCATCTCATCTTGCACATCTCTTACAGGTTCAGCAGGCTTCCTGGGGCACTGACCTGTGGAATTGGCTTCTCTGGTTGTTCCAGTCAGGATCAAGATTAAGTGAAAATACAAACCCATGAGGGAAATCTAGAGAAGCTGCAAACTGGAGGACAGTTCTCAAATGGATGAGTTGGTGCTCATTGGTTTTTTACTCTATTACTGAACACGGTAAGGGTAAAGATAGAAACAGAGAAGACCTCGGGCAGTTTTTGTTCAGTTTTGTGCAGAATTTGTGTGCTTTTTGTTGCACACATGATACCATTGACATGTGCAATCTCAACA